TTTATCATCTACATTTTATTTTATTATTGCCTTCCTGTTTATAGAAAACATTTGTGCTGTAAGTAGATTGTCATCAATCCCCTAGTCATTGAGAACATATCTTAAGTGGAAATAAAAAGGTATTTTTCTATTATAAGCGTCCAGAATTGGTGAAATTCAAAGATGGTACATTCTGTAGAGAGAAGTGCTCTTGTGAAGCATATATACATTTTTTTTTTTGTAGGGAAAGAAATCCCATTTAAATGGAATTACTTAAGCCTACAGATTGGAATTTGGTAGATTGTCAGGACTGTGTGTTTAGGCCTTGAGAATGTACAAGTTGTGCAGGTTTTTAACAAAGAACAACATTTTAAAAATATATTTTTAGTGAAGATTTTTACATGAATGAAAGACAAAAATGAAAACATATACAAAGGAAAGGAAAAAAAAAGAAATTTAAAAGACAATACACATAAAGGGAGGGGGATTAAAGTGGCTCCCAATTTCCACTGCAGCAATTAGAAAAAGAAATATCAATATTATTCCTCCTTCTTCTCTAAGATTACATTTCATATTTTCCCTCCGTCCCATATTCGAGCCTTTTTGGTCTGCAAATATCACCAACTCCTTTCTCCCTCCCCCCATTTTCAGCAAAAAGGGTAATATCATCATCAGTGCCAGTGAGTATGGGGTTTGGTCCCTGTTTATATTCAGCAACTTGGCCTACCAGTATTGTTGGTGCTGTGATTTTCTTCTTAACTATCATTTTCTGCTTGATTGCTTGGTGTTAATCCTGCTTATCTGGGTGGACCCTGCTGGAGAGGATGTGCTAGACTTTTCCTTCTTAGCTTCTTCATTGTTTCTTTAAAGATACCACAACACAGGACTGAGCACGTAGGTCAGCCAGCCAGCCAAAAACAAGCCAGCAGGAGACTTAGATTCTAAACAGTAATGTGCCTCAGTGTGCATTTGAGTGATGGCTTGTTTCCTAATGGAAAATGCTGAGAACAACTTTTCCAAACTCAGTCCTGCTTTGTTTACCTTGCTGTACCATGCTTAGAACCCTGGATATCACCTCACTGTGTCTAGCAGATTCCTAGTCTCAACCTGTGCCAGTTTTTGCCATGTCAGTAAAAAGGACTCTTTTCTTTTAGAAATTCTGCCTGAGCTTTGCCTATCATTGGATTATGGCAGGCCTCCGGCTTGTTATCTTGTTGGCTGGCAGACAACTGTGTTGGCACAATAAAGTTGTCTTGTTTCCATGTATTTCAGGGCTACAAAAGACTTTTCCATGATGAAGGAAATTTGTGAGATTATTCAGTTTCATTCATCACCCGCATTGCAAACTAAATTTGTCTTCGTCTTTGCTTCCTCATCTATGGACCTTGAGGCTATACAACACTTTTTGATTCAAACAGGTACAGACTAATACTTACTTACATTAAACTCATCATTTTGAACCGAATCTAGATATTTTGGTGTTTGGTGGGAAACAAAAGCTTCCCAGATCTTAATGAAAGTTTTTGAAGCCACCCGTTTCATGCTTTTTTAAAATTCAGAGTACACAGAATAATATTTTTATTAGACCTTCTGCCCCCACCCCCACCCCTGTGCCTGGAAAGAATCAGCAACCAGCCTGAGTGGATGGTCCTTCACCAAGAAGCTACCTCCATTTTGGTTCTTTTCTGATTGCAGTGTTCAGCTCTGTGACTCACCACATAAAGCCTCTGTCTTCAAATCCTTTATCCTTTGTGACATGCTGATGCACAATTGTGCATTAAAGTTTGAAGTCCAGCAAATTAAACTTAAGTTACTGTGATACCATAGATACATACAGTAGATTCCATGTTCTTGGCAACAATGCAGAAATGATTTCCCTACTTTTGGTTGTCTTTTTGACTCACTAGTCCAATGTGTTTCTCAATTTTGGAAACTTTAAGATGTGTGGACTAATTCCCAGAATTCCCCAGCCAGCAGCAAAATTGAGAAACACTATCCTGTTTTAATCTAGAGCCCTGGAATTTTCTGCTTCCATGCAAGTATTAACCAGCCCTGTCCCTGCCTATCTTCCAAGCCCAGACAAAATTAAATGTGAAAAATGAGAGCCTCTTCAACAAAAAGTACATATCTTAAAATTGTAAATATTGGGTACAACGTTCTCTTCTTTTAAAGAGATCTCTTTCCTCACATATGAACCTGTTCATATTCATAAACATTTGTTTATTTTCCTAAAGGAATGAACAGCTTTGCTTGCAAGCTTTCCAACTGGGAACAGTTTTGCAATTAAAAAAAAAGTATTATTCAGTTTTCTTTTAATAAAATATTTAGTGCAAAATAAACAGAGGGTTTTAAAATATTTCTTGCAGATTTTCTGTCTTTAGAAATGACTTATGCTATTCAGAAGAACTTTGAAGAAAGCAGCTCTGGTTTCTAAAATCTGGAAGGATTCATATTTCTGTTACAAAGATGACACCTGGTGGTTAGTAAAAGAATGATATGGCGATGACATGGTGATGAAATGCTTATTTCTTGGAACTACATTCACCAAGTTCCACATAACCTATTTCTGAATTAAAGTCTACATATCCAGTTTTTAAATGTACAGCATACTGTAAATATTTTCAATATTTGAAAAGAAAAATGAGGTCACCCATTATTATTTTCAAGTATATTAAAGCATGTCTTCTTGTGAGTAAAGCCTTCAACTTTAGACCACAAATGGGACCAAAATTACTATTTTTAAGAACTTGATTATTAAGTGAATTGCACCTGATTTTTTGCCACGGTTGCTAAGAGAATCGCTACAGTTGTTAAACTGAATCATATAGCTGCTAAGCAAATCCAGATTTCCCCATTGCTTTGCCTCTCAGAAGCTGCTTGGGAAATATAAGAGATAGCTGAACTGAGCCCGAGGAAGGGATCAAACACGGCATCAGTCTCGAGACCCCTTACACCCACAAGAGATCTAAGTCTGGCCCACCTTGAATTCTACTGACGCTTATCTATTTCCAGTTTGCTTTGACCGTTAGCAGTTCAGATTCTTGAAGATCTGGCAATAAACCTTTGTATTCATGTGAACTGCCTGGACTTCTGATTTTTTCCGTGCTTGATTGCAGATGGCAATCACATGACCCCAGGATTTTGCATCTGTCAGAAATACATACTGATTGCCAAGCACCTGAATTTTGATCAAGTGACCATGAGGATGCTGCATTGATCGTGAGGACCAATTGTAAGTCATTTTTTTTCAGAGCCGTTGTAACTTTGAACGGTCACCAAATGAGTCATCGTAAGTCAAGGACAACCTGTGTATTAACTCACAAATCAACTCCTATTATTTTTAAATTTCATTATCGAAGTGTCCCTAGGAATGCATGTATGCTTTTTTTAAAAAAACATTTCTTTAAAGTTTCCTTATGAAATATAAAGGAGTTTACAATATGCAAAATCAAAATCAAAACAATTCAGCATGCATTGATGTTGGCTGCTGGTTCAAATTGTTGGGGAGCTTTTGCCACCATGTTACACTAGCAACAGATAATATAAACACGAGTCTCTGGAGTTGGCTTGCTAGCACATTCTTATCAGGGTCTTGATCATAATTTTAGATGGCAGAATCTTTGCCAGGAATATTTTTAGGGAAGAAACAGTCTCTGGTGGACAGCACCTATGGATGATGTGATGACATATTTGGGAAATAACTTGGGAACCCAGAGAAGTTCCTATTTATGAGAAGATTGCTCTTACATCGCTATGATTCCTTCTCACTTTGGCAGATCTTAGTTTAGGAATCTGGTTTTGTCCTCTTTATCTTAATGGGTACAAGTTAGTATGTTGTCAGGCATGAAAGACCAGGTCTAGATGTGAAGGTTCAATCAAGCTGATTGATTGCTATAGCCCAATTTCCTTGAGGGACACATCAGGGTTGTGTTTGACCTCAGGGGCCTGGGGTGGGTGTGCCCAGGATGAGGAAGACCAGCTTGATGTTACTCATGTTGCAGGCACCAATGGTGGTCTGAGCGCTCCGTCTAGCGAAAACGGGTTCCCAAGCTCAGTTTTCGGCCACGATGACCTCCTGCAGCCCTCTGCCAGGGAAAATGGAGCTCAGGGGGAGCCTCCGTTTTCATTGGCAGAGGGCTGAAGGAGGCCATCACAACCGAAAATGTGTTCCATTTTTGCTGGCAGAGACACCACGGGCCGGTCCTTTGCTGTTTCTAGGGTGGTCCGGCGGGCCAGATCTAAGCATTCTGTGGGCTGGATCCGGTCTGCAGGCTTTGAGTTTAACACCGCTGCTATAGCCTATACATAAGAATCATCTCAACTAAGGTTAGCACCTGCTTAGAATTATATTAGGGTCAATGGCACTCAAGGAAGTTTGGACTTAGTTCCCTTGTGACTACATAGGGACTCTAGGTTGATCCCTCTTTTCACCCCACCATCCAGGTACTGCCACTCCTTTCTCCACATATAGGAAGCAAAAAATGATCAACAATACAATAGTGTAATCTGCAAGAGTTGCTAAGTGATGATTTCTAAATGCATGCTTAAAAAACAATTTGCAATACACATAGATGTCAATTTATGATGTTGCCAAGTGACCATTCAAAGTTACCATGAACCTCCCCAGGGCTACATATGACGTGAATTGTAACTAAACGTAACAATTTCACTGACAATTTATTTTTTAAAAAATCAAATAAAAACTGATGGGGAAAAAAGCAGGAGAATGTATTTTCAAGAGCTGTTTTATTTGGTTTGCTTTGCACCATGGAAGATTGAAGAGGAGTGACTGGTATGGGCTTCCTTATCTCTTGCACATAAAGAAATACTTGTGCAGAAAGGGTTAATTAGCCAGCAGTAATTCCGGGCTCAATTACAGTCATAAGTTGAAGAGTGCCTGTAAAGGAATGACATCTGTTATTGCATAATCTTCTTTCCTTATTTCCACGTCTCCACTAAATCTTGAGGAAGATTTCCCAGCTCTTACTAATTGGGATAAATGACACCTTCATCATATTTGGCCATGTGAGATAATTTTTTATTAGAACTGACTTGAGTATTATGGATTTTAATGCTTGACATGTTCCAGAAGCCACTGAATTCCATCCAACAGTCCCATCAGTGTGGCAGCTTCAATGTCCTGAACCTGTAAAACCCAAGAAAAAGACAGTTCCAAACTGAAACAAGTATTGTGGAGTTTACAGTTGCCCTCAAAGAATTTATAAAAACGATTTAATGATCCTAATGACCCTCAAATTCTGTGACCATTGCCACCACATCTTGTAGCAGTCACAAAACTCAATTATGTAATGCAAAGTTGCAGCGCAGGATACTTAAAATATGCTTTAAAACTGACAAATGAAGTAGCAGCAGCCATTCCATCTGGTTGAATAAGAGAGGAAGAAGAAAGCAAAACCAAGCAAAGCTCTTGGCTCTTTTCATTAGTCATGTAAGAGCAGCCGCTTCAGATCATTTGAACATGTTCAACACTAGTTGTTCATTATATTCAGTATCAATTTAATTTGGTATTAATTTAAAATGGTATTTGATGGATTTTTCCTCCTCCTCTTTCTCCATCCATCTTCCTTCCTTCTTTATCTGTTATGTCTTTAGATTATAGGCTTGAGTGCAGACCTATATTTCTACCTTGAGCTATATAAACCTCTCTGGCAATGTGTATGTATATGTAGTTAGATAACTGAGTATATAGCTTTAAAAAAAATATGGTACCATCCACACTCGGTCCAACAGGTTTAGTTGTAGCTGATGTGCCAGGTAAACACAAGGAATCCTTTCCTTTGAAGCACGTGAAATGCAAGACAAAACCAACAGAGGTCTGCCCAAAGGCCCAAGCGTGGGATCAAGCATTGCTGACATCCGAGCAAATTCAATTTGGCGATTGTGTCCTGCAAAGAGAGACGGTTGTTTCATTCAACTCTGCCTGATGCACCTTAAACATCATCCTTTGAAAAAAAATGCCAGCATCGTTCAAAAATTCTTACTTTTATGGTCCTCAGCATCTGCAACATAGATGAATCCATCAGCTAGCCTGCACACATTCTGAACATGTTCAATTAGCTTATATTGTGTTGTCCCATCCACGTTGCTCACTTCGTAGAACATCTTATTGATGGAATTTGTATCTGCTTTGTCTCTTTGCCTTTCTTTTCTGGGAAAAAAAGAAACTAATTATTTCGAAGATTCTGGGAAAAAGTAAAGCAGAGCTGCATGAGTTTCTTTGGGATTTGTGGCTAGATGTGGGTCTTATGAAATGTATCAGGGGTCTCTATAGCTGGGGGAGGGGAGAGATGAGCATGATCAACATGGAAAATAAACATATCCAGCATTAAAAATGCATTTTCAAGTCAATCTCCTGATTTCCTCTCAATTCTCTTATACCTTAGTTAGTTACAAGGACCTGACCTTGGATGCTCACATTGTAGCACCGGTCAAAAGGGTCCAGCAGAGATTATACTACCTGAGGCTTCTCAGAAAACGACTGAATAAAAAGCTGCTGGTGACTTTCTACTGCTGCATCATAGAGAGTATCTTAACTTACTGCACCTCTGTATGGTTTGCCAATTGCACAGTGGCAGATAGGAAAGATTCCAGAAGGTTACTGTCATTGCCCAGAAGATCATTGATTGCCCTCTTCCCTCTTTGGAAGAACTTTATGGCTCCCACTGCCTTAAGAAAGTTCAAAACATTCTCAAAGATCCATCTCATCCTGGGAACCCTTTTTTTGAACGATTACCATCTGGCAGATGGTACAGAATAATAAAAACAAGGACAAATAGGCTGAAAAACAGCTTCTATCCCAGGGCAGTAGCTCTTTTTAATTCTGCTGTATAGTGCAGTGTTGGTGCGGTGTCGGGGGGGGTTCAATTCAACGTGTGGAGTGTGAAGGATGTGTGTTTGTGTTTATTTTCATGGTCATGATGTGCACTGAAAATGGTGTTTGATTTTGTTGTACGAGGTGCAATGACAATAAAGTAAACTAAACTAAACTCTGCATGTGTGTCTTAGAGTCAGTGTTGATTCCTGGTGGCTGTTTGGGTTAATCCCTGCAATTTTCTTGGTAAATTTTCATAAGTGGTTTGCCATTTCTTTCTTCTTAGATCTGAGAGAGAGTGACTGGTCCAAGGTCACTCAGATATTTCCTAAGACTTTGTAGTCTCCCAGTTTCTAGCCTACTGCTAACCACTACACCAATCTGCCCCTCAGTCATAAAGCTCATCAATTTTAATTTATTACAAATTGATCACAGCTGTGGAGGGGAGCAAGAGTCACCAAGTAACCCTTGAATGAGTATCATATCCCTGTCCTATCCCAGCTTTACACCTTGACTTAAAAGATCTGATGACAAATGGTTTTGAACAGTGATGGCAAACCTATGACACATGTGTCACAGATAACATGCAATATCATTTTTGGTGACATGCCAGGACTCTGGTCTCTCTGGAAATTATGAGACAGGGCCTCCCCTGGAGCTTCCAAAAAACATGTGAGAATGGGGGGGGGGGTCTTTCTTGCTGATTTTGGCGGTAGCAAGACCACACAAGAACATATTCAAAGCATTCAGTCTTCAAAGGCAGCCTAGAGCTGCCTTGAATGGGCATTTTGAAAAATATTTATGAGTATGTAAGTTTTTTATTTATCCAATAAGAAATTTAAATAAATTAATATTACTCTTTGTTATGATTTGATTCTCTGTTTTCTCTCTCCCTCTCTGTGCCAGTGTGTCTGAGACACACACCCCAGTAGAATAAAGATAAGCGTTTTCTGAATTTTTAACAGGCCCAGCCCAAAAAGCTCACCATCACTGACTCTGAAAGAATTATGTGGTGTCTTCAAGGCTAGCTGATGTTTGTGGTCTTTTCAAGGCAGCTTGTTGTTTGAAAAACAACCCCTAATTCACCCCTAATTCCAGCAAAGCATCATATCTAGGAATGTTTTTTTTTTAAAAAACTCTCCCAGGCAAATATTTTTTTTTAAAAAAAGAAATTATCTACGGCTCAGGATTGAACTGCAGAGTTCATAGTGCTCTCTCAGCTTGGTGGTTTAAAGGTTGTTCAAAGCTTACAGAGCATCAAGAACTCAAAACAATTTTTTGAAATTAACTTTTCCACGGAAGAAGCTCAACAAATCTTACCTAGTTTTTGAATACAGTGTCTGAATGTTAAAGTTCTGGCCATTCAAATTAAATGTGACTCCAGAGCCTATTCCTATTTGAGGAAAAATAAAAATAAACACAGTGTATAAATTAGAACATCTGTTTTAATGAAGCATGTATTCTGGTTTATACAAATGTATACAAATCAATTATTTCTGGATGCCTGAAAATGTTTTCCTGCTGTGGATCATAATTAATATAATTGATTAGATAAGATGTTTAAAAATGTTTAATCATTAAATGTTTAAAAATCTACACAGAGAAATGCCCACACCTTGGTTGAGGAAGATTTGCTGCATCTCCTCTTACTATTTATTATATTGATTTGAAAATTTTAAGTAAGATTAATTGTAAGATTAAATGACTTTAATCTCCTTTCTCATACTAAACTGACACTAGATACATGGTCTTAAATGGATAAAAATGTTTTCATGGAAGATTTGGATAACTGCTGGGATCTAATGGACGAAATCAAAGAGTTTGTAGCATTTTCTGTACAAGATGACTTGACTGAATTTGGGGATGGGGTCAAACACATCATCAGTTTGAAGTTGCTACACTCCTCTAAGAGACCTAAGTCCAGCCCCCCTTGAAGTTTGTTGACTCTTATTTGGCACCAATTTGCCTTAACCATTAGTAGATCAGATTCTTGTGTATAGGTTGCATGGAATAAATTCATACTGCTCTTGAACTCTATCCTGACTCTTGATTTCCTGTGCCTAACATTTTCTAAGTTAATATATAAATACAATTTGTTATCTGATACCCATTCACAATATTTAAAATTACACTTATTTACTCCTTTTGGACAAGCAGCATTTTTAGCCTCAGAGATGTCTATGTTATTAAATCCTATGAGACTAAAATAGCAATAGCACTTAGACTTATATACCGCTTCACAGTGCTTTATAGCCCCCTCTAAGCAGTTTACAGAGTCAGTATATTGCCCCCAACTCTCTGGGTCCTCAATTTTATCAAACTCCAAAGGCTGAGTCAACTTTGAGCATGGTGACATTCGAAGTGCCAAAGTGCAGACAGCTGGCAATACTGCATTTTAATCACTACGCCACCAGGGCTCTTATGACATTATTAAATGTCATTAAATAAAGCCTGGATTGTAGAAACAATGTAAACCATACTCTAACAATAAAGCAAGAGATAGGGCATAGGGCCAGGCTATCTGAAGAACCACATCACCCCAATAAGATTGACCTGCCCCACCTGCACCAGAAGAATGGGCATATTTCTCAGCTACTCCTGAGCAAGTCCGGCGATCAGCGTGAAAAGAAACCAGTACAGACTGGGAACTTGGTCCACCGCTTTCTTTATTCTTTTCTTCTTTACCAGCAAGTCCCAGGAAGTACTGAGCAAGGGAACCAAAGGTAACCCACATAAAGTCAGCACTGGGAGTGTCTGCCTCCCAGCACCCCTAAATACCATTCTCCCACCCCACATGTTTTCAATATCCGCTCCACTCTCATAGCTACCATTTGGTTGCCGATACTGCAGAGCAAGTGGCCAAGATCCAGAAAGCACCGTCCCAGCATCCCTGCCTCAGCCGCTCAATCGCCGATCAGCTGGAGTCCTCCGTTGCCCTGACAGGTCACCGTATCGTTGCTGCTCACATGGTAAAATGGAGATCTGCACCACCCTCACAGGCCACCGTGGTATGTCTTGGGCTCCATCAGCTGGCCGGAGATCAGAATGTAGGTGGGTGTGGTCTGGGCTTCTTGGCGAGCTCCAAGCTGGAGCTCGACAATATTGTGGATAGCAATAGCAATGGCATTTAGACTTATATACAGCTTCATAGTGCTTTACAGCCCTCTCGAAGTGGTTCACAGAGTCAGCATAGTGCCCCCAACAATCTGGGTCCTCATTTTACTGACCGCAGAAGGATGGAAAGCTGAGTCAACTGTGAGTTAGTGAGAATCAAACTGCTGGCAGTCGGCAGAGTTAGCCTGCAATACTGCATTCTAACAATGCGCCACCACAGACCCCATTGGTCAAGAAATCCCAGCTGGCAGGATCCAGAAGATCCTTTTCTGCCATGGTCCTGCCCTTTGGAACACTGTGTCCCTCTAGAATCCACACCCATCTTTTTGGCTTTCTAAAAGGGCCTAAAGACTTGGCTCTACCAATTGGCCAGGTCTCGTGTTATCCTGGAGGTCATTAGCAGGTTGAGATAGGATCCCATCTCCTTCCTGGGTGTATCATGTTCTCTTCCTTCCCATCTCGCTAATTTTAAACCAATTTTAACATGATTATTTATTATGTTAATGTTTTAACTTATTTTTCTGATTATAAGATGCCTAGAATCACCTCTAAGTAAGGCGGCACATACTGTACATTTACCAAATAAATAAACAATAAAAAATAATACTTATGCTTACTAACTAAATAAACATTAAAAATAAATTTATATTATACTTATAATGGGAAGTCATTTCTTCACACACACACATCACTTTTATTTAGTTTCTGCTGTTCTGTCTTTCTTATTTTCTTCTTTCATTCTTAATATTAGCTCTTGTTGGGTTTATTCATTTTATATTCTCACAAAGTTTATAAAATGAAAAAGAAAAAGTACATTACCTTGTATTTGTCTAGAAGGCATGCCCGCTAGCGGCAGAATGTCTGGGCTTGACATCATTGTGTATACCAAAGATTGATCCAGATCTTCTAAACCAGGCCCAAACATAGCAAAGCATGGCTCTGTCTGCGTAATCAGGGACTGTAGAAAAGAAGACATGGCGCTATATGTAGTCCTATTGGGTTTCAAAAAACTTTTATGGAAGGAACAGCATTTTTTATACCTGCATTTAAAGAAAACAATAGCAATCAGCGTTAGTTGACAATGCCGAATAAGCAAGGTGTGTTACTGTATTATAATTTCTTCCTTAGCAGCTTCTACCATAAGAATCTATAAAGTCACTGAGGTGAGGTGAGCAGCGCAGAAATGTGACAAACAAACCAACAACTAAATTGATGTCTCCAGGGTTAGTGGGGTGGGCAGGAGGAATTGTCTAGAAAAAAAAAAGCAAAATACAGTAAAATGTAACTTTCTATCACACCACTGGAAATTGTCAAAGTACAATATAGTATAGTTGCCATAATATAATATTTAGAATAGAATGAATGATCTGGAAGGGACCTTGGAGGTCAACTAGTCCAGCCCTCTGCTCAATCGGAAGCTATACCAATGATGGTGAACCTTTCTGTTGTGATGTGCTGAAAGCGCCCCCCTTGTGCATGCACATGCAACACCCCCGCCCCACCCCCTTACCTGCACTGTGCATGCGCGCACCTCCCAGCTGATTTTTGGCCTGTTTGAGGCCATTTTCGCCCACCCAGAGGCTCGAGGGAAGCCTCTGCAGCCTCAGGAGGCTGAAAAACAGGCCTTCCGGAAATACCCGTTTTTAGCTTCTGGAGGGCCTCTGAGCCTGAGAGAGGCCCTTTTCGCCCCCACAGAGGCTCAAGGGAACCTTTGGCAGCCTGAAAACAGGCCTGTTTCAGCACTTCCGGTATTTCTGGAAGGCCCACTTTCTAGTCTCCCTGGCTGCAGAGGTATCCTTTGAACCTCCAGGAGGGCGAAAACGGCCTCAAACGGGCCAAAAATCAGCTGGGAGGCGTGCGCATGCACAATGCAGGTAAGTTGGCTGGGATTCGCGGGCCCGCACAAATAGCTCTGTATGCCACCTGTGGCATGTGTGCCATAGATTCACCTATACTATTTCAGATAAGTGACTGTCTAGTCACTTCTGGAAAACATCCAGTGATGGAGCACTCATGATTTTTGGAGGCAAGCTATAGTTGGATAAAGACAAATTATACCAAATATGTGCCATGTTAAATACAGGCAGTTCTCAACTTCTGCCCGTCACTGGAACCAGGAATTCCATTGCTACGCAAGGTGGTTAGTGAGCTGTGCCTAATCTTAATGACCATGGTTGTTAAGTGAATCACTGCAATTGTTAAGTTAATCATAATTTTTAGGAAAATCCAGTTTTCCCCTTTGTTTGCCAGAAGCCTGCTGGAAAGGTTGCAAATGGCCAGCATATGACCCCAGGATGCAGCAACTATTGTAAAGACATGCTGGTTACCAAGCACCTCGATTTTGATCATGTGATCATGGGAATGCTGCCATGGTCATAACAGAATAGAATTCTTTATTGGCCAAGTGTGATTGGACACACAAGGAATTTGTCTTGGTGCAAAGGCTCTCAGTATACATAAAAGAAAAAAATAACATTTGTCAAGAGTCAAGAATCATCAGGTACAATAATAGTCATAGGGTACAATAAGCAATCAAATCATACTAGGAAACAGTCAATATAAATTGTAAGGATACAAGTGACAAAGTTACAGTCATACATGTGGGAGGGGATGGATGATAAAGAGTGACGGGAAGATTAATAGTAATAGTAGTGCAGACTTGCTTGTGTGAGGACTGGTTGAAAGTCACTTTTTCCAGTGCTGTTGTAATTTGGAATGCTAAATGAATGGTTGTAAGTCAAGGACTTCCCATACTGTATAGCTAATGAGTTTTTTTTAAAAAAAAATACTTGAAAATGAGAGCCTGCAAAGCAATTCATATTCAGTGAAGCTTTGCTTCATTAAACCAAATGGATTTCATTTTGGAGTACATGTGCATGGAATTAATTTGTTACTTTACTTTTCATCATTATATGATCCAATACTTACGCTGCCATGAAATTGCATGGGCTAATATCATCTAATTCCACAAAAGGCTGATTAAATATCTTTGCATCTGGGAGGGATTCACAATCTATGGAATTCCAAGAAGGAAGATCCCGAATGAGGAAATATCTCCAAAGCAAGGGATCCTGGACCGTTATTCTCCAATAGTGGTTGGTGCTCCCCAAATAAATCAGCTCTTTTGGCGTGAGAAAGGACATAATGTATAGTTTCACACATATCTGTAAACAAGACAATAAAAATGCAGTTCAGCTGAGCCAACAACAAAAAAATAGCTGATTTTTTAATATAAAAAATAAGAACCTGTGACTTCATGAAAACCCCCGAAAGCTCTCCTATTTACAAGGCAAAAGCAGTGCCAGTTAACATTTGCAGGATTTGAGGACTGTGTGAGCGAAATTGTGGATGTCAAGATTTTTCACCAAGAGCTACAACAGGTTTATTGGCTTTTCTCTAACCTTTTTACTCCAGCATGAATGGAGTGGACCTCACTCTATTCCTAAGAGGTATGTAAGGCGGTGGTGCATAAGCGCACCAGGTTCAAGGTTGACTTAGCCTTCCATCGTTCTCAGGTTGGTAAAATGAGGACCCAGATTGTTGGGGACAATATGCTGACTCTGTAAACCGCTTAGAGAGGGCTGGAAAGCACTATAAAGGTATATAAGTCTAAGTGCTATTGCTATGTATTATATATATATATATACTTATGCCTGTTTATACTTAGATGTTTATATGTTATGTTCATACTTATACTTGTTTTCTCCTACATGCTTGACAAAATATATAAATAAAGAATCCTAGGAAGTCGTCAACTTGGGGGCATGAAGATCTGAGATGCTAAACGAGATGCCTTATTTGACTTCATCTGGAGAGCGAGTAGCTGCTGGAGAACAAGCTCTTCGTTCACTCCCTGCGTTGCCTCTGAAAGAAACGCCGCCGGTGAGGCGGGGACGCACCCCTCCGCTTGCGCTCAGCATCTCTTTTGCGAATGGAGCTTCTACTCGCCCACGGACTCTGCAAGAGTGCGATTGGCGGAACCAGGACCCCACCTCCCCTAAAGCGTCGTGGCCAATGAAAAGAAGAACGTCGCCATCCCCTCCCCAACATAACGGGAAGCGGCCGCGTTGGAGCTTGTGCGCTGGCTCGGGCGAGTTCTTACCGGCAGGGTTTCCAGGGCGCTCGACGGGCTCGCGTCCATCCCTACTGCCTCCTTCGCTTCCTCCTCCTGCTTCCCCGCGGCGCAGTCGGGGTTTCCCCACAACCTCGCCCGTTGCGCCCACTTTTCCCGGAGGTGTTGGAGGCTGTTGCGCAGCGCGCATTCCAAGGCGCGCCAGTCCCCGCCGAGATTGGCGGACATGGCAACGTCGCCGGCTGTAAAGCTACGCCTGGTTCGCCTGGCGAAAAGAAGCGGGTGGCCTTCGGCTCGCCTACGTTGCGGGGCGGCTTGGGCTGAGGCGAGTGGATTTAGCTGGTCTGAACCGACAGCGCGCTCTCCTAGCCGGCTGCTTATGCGAAGGTGGAAATGTTGGGGTTGATCAGTCAACTCGCTTCCCTTTCCGGGCGTCCCGCCTTCTGCCGCGATTTGCCCAGCCTAAAGAAGCTCAGCCTGAGGCGTGTGTTATTGGTCGATAGTAGTTTCCAAAGTGACCTGTAAGAAATACGCCCCAAGTATTTCTGTCTCTTCAATATTGCTCAGGGAGGGGTTTTTTTTTTTAAAAATTTTTTTAGAACAGCGAAATACTATATTCATTCAATCCTTTTACCAGTTCTCAGCACATTGCCACTTTCACGGAATATTTCTTTATATGTATTTTACTGAAATCATCTAATCCACTAAACAGCATGTGGGGGGGGGGGGGGGCGACGACCCCAATACTGAAATATGTATTTCTTTCCATTTTAGACATTTTGTTCTGTATGACTTTTTGCCTTGAATGGAGAGAAGTCTTGGGTGATTTAATACTTCATGTGGGGCCATCTCTAGCCTTAAAAATGTCTTAAAAAGCTATCTTAATTTAGATTGATGCATCCTTTTAACACCATGGCAAAGAAGTCTGAAAAGAATAGGACAAAACAATGCAAGTGGAGTTTGTCTACCTAGAAGCATCAAAGGATACTGGGACCCTGCAGGTAATGTACCCCTGGACTATGACATTTCATCCTGCCATAGGAAGTGAAGACCAAGCTTATGAGGAACCTCTTGGTAGCTTAATAGAAGAGCTAGGAGGGCAGGGCAGAGCCCATTAGTCCAAGCAAAGCAACTCCTTGAAATGTTCAGCGGTCAGTGTTTTTGGGAAGGTTGGCATGGGTGCTTTGAAAGTCAGCCTTCAAGCTTTGTGGTGGGGCCATCAGTAAAGCTGTTGCTGTGTACTTATTCAGATGGCCGGGGCTAGTTTTTGAAACAGCCCAATAAGCTTCTGAAGGAAACGGCCACTTTTAGCACTGAAGAGTCACCTTGTGGTAGCATCCACTGCAAGGTATGTCTTTTGGGTGCTTTGCATAACCCCAATAAAGGCTCCTCTCTATCTTATGCAGACAAATCTTAGCAGCCTGTTCCCTAAAAAAAAAAATCCATCAAGGTTTCAAGCACACCTGAACAGACCGCTTTATTACCACTCCACAACTACAGGTAATCCTTGATTTACAACTGGTTACTTAATGATGATTCAAAGTTATGATGGATTTGGGCACTTGGCAACCAGCTCACCTTTATAGTTGTTTGCAGCATGATCACATGACCGTGGTTGCAATATTTTTGCCAGTTTCTGACATTTACTTCCAATTTCTAGCAAAAAGCATCAGCTGGGGACCATTGATTTGCTTAATGAGACCAAGTTTGCTTAACGACTGTATTTTCAGCTCTTCCCATTTTCTGACATTTATTTCCTCAAAAATGTGACACTGCTTTAAGCAAAACTTTTACTCCCCAAAGTAGGCAGAAAATTGCAGCACAAGTATTTGGCAGTTTTCCCCATCCCTCATAAAAATCTCAGGAACTTCTGGAAATGCAACAAGAGTAGGGCCATGTACAATTCATAGGTGCCTCCTACTTAAAATTGATCTCTACCCTCTAACCCTTCTGAAATTATTCCAGATTAATTTGTATTACAGTTCCAACAATTTAGGTAAAATTGAAATCAAGAAATCCACACTGTTAGCTCATTTTAAAAGACATGCACCCACGATTCAACCATAAAACACATACATTTTCTTCACTTTAATACTTGTTTTCAGTACATGCACCATCTGCTTAGGTCAGTTAGGATGACAATTGTTTAAAATAATCCAATATGCGCTTTGCATTCTTTGTATCCCAACCATGTGATCTTAAAGGTCCTTCACACACTGCAATGTATTTTGTTAACATTTTCTCTCCAATTTCCTGAAAGTCCATGATGATGTTTTCTGAACTGCCCGGCAATTCTCTATGTAGTTCTGTGCCTTGATCTCCACAGTATTTCAGCCCCCAGTAACACATTTCTCCACAGTACATCATTGCCAACAGGTGGGTATCACTAAAAATACCTGCCAGAGGGGAAAGAAAACAACATCTGGAAGGTGTCATTTGCATCAAACAAACCCAAAGTATGGTTAGTTACTTGCCCTCCCTTTCCAGTATCTAAAAAGATAAAGCCTCCATTATGTTATCATAATGAATATAAGGGTGACATGTAAGAGACTGAAAGATGTATTTATTCTACAGGTAGTCCTTGAGTTATGACAGCAATTGGGAACAGGATCTCCATCACTACATGCGGTCATAAATCACAATGGCATAGCAGTGAGCTGCAGATGAGAAGACTGCAGCATAGAAATCAACCAGCCTAATTAAATCATTTAAATTATATTTCTCCATCTCTCTCTCTCCCCCCCTCCCCCCCCTCAGCTTTTATTGTACATCAATGTCGTTGGCAAAAAAAATCCATTTTTGCACAAAATTGAAAACTTTCATCCAAAACCATGAAGAAAACTTTAAGCTAAAGAAAGCTATGAAAAGATAATGAAGGGGGTTGGAGTGGGAGAATTAAAAAGATAGAATGAGGGTGGATCCTGAGTAAGAAAGGGCATGCGTGAAGTAGTAATTATATTAAGTAATAATTATTACAAAATTTCCTAGTTTATTTTACATGGATGATATGAATGAGATAAAATGAGACATAAAGCATCTGAAAATAATGTGCACATAAATGCTTCCAACTTGAAAGATTTAGCAGCTTCCTCTAAAATATGCCTTTATTTCAATGTGCAGCGGAGAATCCTTTCTGCTAAGAAGCATTAATATGGAACACTTACCTTCATTGACCAATATAGCTGTGCTTGTATCTTGAACTACAAATTCTTCATTTGGGTTGTCAGTACATCTAAAATCAAGCATCTTTAGCAAGTAATGGATTCCTTCCTTAAGGAACTGAAGTGAAAAATAAATGGCATTTAAGGTAGCCTTTTCAATACATAGTCTTCATAACAGAACAATCTTCATGAAACACCCGAACAAATTTCCATGCTATAAAAGTTATATTATTTACTTTATATTTATCAGCAGACTATAAAATAAAACTTCATGTAAATAAGAGCAATGTACTGATGGGTGCTATCAATACATAACTAAAGGACAAATATTTGTGTCTTACAAGATACTGTTTCTTTTTTAATACAGGTGACCTATGCATGAAATGTTCTCTGTGCTATTTACAGTTGATGCCAAATCTTGCTAGGTTTTAGCAATAAGGACTTATTTGATCATGCTTGAGGTGGAAGTTAAGCCACTAATACGTTTGCCATCTTGAATTACTTGTAATAGATGGGATAAAAATCTAATAAACATGATTTTAACTTTTGCAATTTTATGTCTTCATTTGACATTCTCTGGTACTCTACTTTTACTAAAAGTCAGGCTGAATTCTTCTATAAAGAATTTAAAAGTTCACACCAAAACACATCTTTGTTTACTCTAGAACAAAGTAAATACAGGAAGCAGTTTCTATTGAGGGAGATCACTGTCTTCAAAAACTATGGCACTTTCCTTGACCCGAGCATCCTTCAGATGTGTGAACTTTCAATTTCCAGAATTCTCTGCAATGAGAGAATGCTAGCTAGAGAAGCCTGGGAGTTAAAATCCATATATCTGAAGAACACACAGTATTCCTTCTTCAGTTATGATCAGGTCCATACTACAAACCAGCATTCTCAATCTTGGGTATTTAAAGATAGGTGGACTTCCCAAATTCCCCATTCTGCATACTGAATTCTAGGAGTTTTGAGCCCACCCATCTTAAAGTGGCCAAGGTTGAGAAACACTGGTTTAAGGGAACAAGAGGGGGAATTCAGTCTATACTAAATCATACATTTTGATTCACTGCCTTTTATTTGTACTGGAAAAATATTTAAAGAATTGTCAATTTCTCATAGTCCAAATTTCAATTGTTATCTTGTCTATGTAATTGGACTTGGAACTTATTTTGAAAAATAGGCATTATTCTTGCAGGAGTGGGCAATATTTTTCATTGTGATGGAATGGGAAAATTTACCTTTTTAAGTAAGTCGGTCTCCTTCCTCAGCCATTCCTTTCTTCCTTTAACTGTGTGGCAAAACATGTAGATCAAAGCTCCTCTTCTCCAATAAAGGCATTCCAGCAACTCAATTCCGAGTATTTCAAGGGGCTAGAAAAAGATGCCCATCAAGTGAAAAAACTTGAGCTTCATATAAAAGGGAGGAACACAGACGCTTCAAAATGTAGGTAGAGGAAATTCCTACAAAATAGGGACCAGCATCCTTCCCAAATATCTGGCATTATCATTCAATTTCACCTACTGGTAGCATTATATGGTCAAAATATTAAAACATAAATTAAAAAGTTAGCATTAGAAATCTAAATATTTAAAAGTTCAATAAGGCCAGCCTCGTGATATCGTGAAAAAGCTATTCTCATTTTTGTCATCTTTCACTTTAAAAATTCTATTATTTGTAAACCAATAGGGCATAAAATAAGCTGTTATGTGGCACATGGTGCTCATAGGTATTACAACACTAATTCCAACTATTAAAAATGTGTTTTCTACTTGATAAAATTTAAAAAGAAGTGGCACAAAAAAGCCAATCAGACATTAAGCTAGCTTATACTGATCTGACAGAGAAACCCATTGCTGGGTACGATTGCTGCAAAATATACAATAAAAAGTGCAAGAATGAAAGATCGGCAAGTTTTTTGATAATGGAAGGGCTTTATTCAATGTTGACCATATTCTTGAACAAAAAGTCTATTTGAGTGATTATGGCTGGCTTAATACTTACTTCTTGGAAAATACCACTTTCATTGACCAGGTTTTCTGGCTCGGAAAGTGCACCAATTAGTTCCTCAACTTTCTGCAGAGAGGATTCTTCTGGAAACTCTTCATCAACAAGTTGGTTTTCTTCAAAATATGTGATATCTAATAGTGCCTTTAAAGAGATGGAAGAGTTTAGTTTTTGTTAGATGCAGCCTTAGATTTTCCTAACTTGGCCAAGAAATACGGCTACATTTGGTAAAAGATGGATTTAAAGTTAATTTTTCTTTGCATTTCAATGGCGGCACTTTCCCTTATTAGTA